CGAAATTGAACTATTTTTGGAAATTGCAATTGTTTAAACTGAAATTCTTTAAACTTGATATTTTTCAGTACTTTTGATAAAATTTCCTGATGTTTTCTTGACTTTCTGGAACCTTGTTATTATTTATAAATTTTATAAATTATTTATTAAGGAAATAGTTTTCAATTTTAAAAACCTTTTAAATTTTGGAGGAGTTACGTTTATAATTTTTATAAACAATTGAATTCCAGAAGGTTTTAAATTTGAAATGTTTGTTGAAAATTTTAATTCCTTATGAAAAAATAACAATAATGATTAAATATTTATGTTGCGAATAATTTTTCAATAATTGAAGATATTCACAAATACATAAATGTTGGCATTAAAAACCGTTTCCTCGTGCATCTAAACATTTGTAGAGTGAATCTAAATTTTCTTTAGTCAAAATTTTATCTGAAAATTAGGAAAAGTTAAAGAAAAGGAAAAATAAATCTTTTGTTCCAAAAGACCGAATTTATTCATTCGAAAATTTTTTTTCTGTGAAATTTGTAATTTGTTAACCATACTTGAAAATATTTTTTAAATTAAATTAAAAATATTTTTAAAAAATTTATATTTTGTAGAATTTATATCTTTCTGATTGGAATCCAAAGTTTATTTGTATTCAGAAATATGCGTAGTATTTTTGTAAAAATTTTATTTCTTCATTACAGCAAAGAATGCTTGTGAAATTTTATTAAGTTGACATTTTTCTTGCAGAAAATGTTACGAAAAATAAACAAATGATTTTCAACAGAATTCTTTTATTATTAAATTTTACTTAAATCGAAATTTGTGCAAAAATTGACAAATGAATTTTTTGTAGAAAAATATGCCTTAAAAATTTGAATTTCAAGTATTAAAATAATTAAGAGAGGAATTTCAATGTATTGTGTGAATTTTGCTAGAATATTTGTAAATGTTGCCACTAATGAAATATTTTTGACGAAAATGAAAAAAGAGTGAAATCTCTTTCGCCCAATTGAGACGCATTTGTCAGTGGATGCAGAATTTGACAAGCCTTAAGTGGTTTTTGTTTAAACTTTCTAAGTTATTTTTTCACGGATTTAACACGGTTTGAGGACAGGTGTGTTTGGACAGTTCACGTTTAGCGGCCAACTGATACCTGGGGCCAACCTGGGGCTACCTGGGGCTACCTGCTTGGCGACGAAATCTCGCAAAATCTCGTCCCGCTTCACTGTGTAAATATTGGCAGCGTGTCACAGTAGTATTTCACTAAAAATAAAAAAGGGGAAAGGTGGTATTGTAGTCGCACGGAGGGTACGAATAGATTTCCGTCGCGCCGAGCAGGTATGCGTGGGTATGGGGAAAAAGCGGCAAAAGTTATCGCCAATCTCAATTTCCAACGGTATTAGTTGCGCGCCCTTTTCTCAATTTCACTTTTAATTTTATTTCTAGCCCCTTAATATTGTGTTACTTCAAAAACACATTCAAGTAGACTATCGACACTACTTTAATTATTGAGCGAAAGCTTCTCTTATTAATTACAAAAATAAATCTTTAATCAGAGTTGCCACAGATTAGGGAACAGTCAGCTGGCCCTCGGATATTTTATTTTTCGACAATTTTCAAATAATGCGACTTTTATCGATTTATATTACTAAATTGAGACTTTTTTTACAAATTCTCCAACAAAATACCATATTTTTAGTTCAAAGTGCAACTTATTTTAATTTTTGTTAGTGTGAAAAGTATAATAGACAAATCATTGAAAACTTTTGGATAATTTTGGATAATTTTTCTAATTGAATTTTCAAAATATACAATATTAGAAAGCTTTTGAATAAGAATTTTATTATAAATTTTGAAAAATTTCAATTTGCAACATTTAGAAAATAATTGAATTTTCAAAAAATTTAATGAAAAGTCTTCAATTGTAAATTTAATTAAAAATGAAAATGAATGGAAATTAATTTCTTAAAATTATATTAAAATATTTTTGAAAAAAATAATAATTATATATATATTTCCAAAAATTCAAATGCATACAAAAAATAATAACATTAGAATTTTTTAGAATTATTTTTAACATTTTGGAGAAAATAATCATATTCAAAATTTTTAATTAAAATTCTTCAATAAAATTAATAAATTTTTTTTTAAAACTATACAAAATTTCTTTTTATAAATTAAATGTAATTTTCGAATATATTACATTACAATATTTATAAAAAACTAATTCTTAGAATTGTTTTATTCTAATTTTTTAAGATTCAATTATTTTCGAAAAAAGTAAATTAAAATTTTTTTAAATTTACTTTTTTAGACTCATTCAAATTTCAAAAAATCATTTATAATTAAAATTCTTCAAAAGATTGATTTTTTTATATTTTTAAAAAATCCAATTATTTTTAAAACATTTTATCAAATTTCAATTATTTTTCAAAAGATTTTACCAAATTTCAATTATTTTTCAAATATTATATCAAATTTCAATTATTTTTCAAAAGATTTTACCAAATTTCAATTATTTTTCAAATATTATATCAAATTTCAATTATTTTTCAAAGATTTTATCAAATTTTAATTTTCTTTTTTAAAAAGATTGTACGAAATTTCAATTATTTTTGAAAGATTTTATTAAATTTCAATTATTTTTGAAATATTTTACCAAATTATTTTTCAATTATTTTATCAAATTTCAATTATTTTTAAAAAATTTTACCAGTTTTCAATTTTTTTAAAAAAGATTTTACCAAATTTCAAATAATTTTAAAAAAATATTACTAAATCTCAATTTTTTGGACATTTTTTAATTGTATACCTATAATTGTAAAACTATTGTCTTTCAAAAATTATTTAAAATAATATAAATTCAATTAGTCAGGGAAAAGTCAGAGAATTTTATCAAAAGTTCTGGGAAAATATTCAATTTCTAGAATTTTTTAAATAATATTTTTAAATTCTTTCCATTTCTAACAATAATTGAACTATGCGGATTTGTAAGTGAATTGATTTTAAATAATTTAAATCTTGAAAATCAGTTAATAATAATTGAATTTTAGAAATGTTGCGCTTTCAATTTTTATAATTAAAATTTAATTTTTTATTTTCAAGTAAGAACTTCAATTCTTAAATAATTACAGGTTCAAAATTTAAGAATATTCAACTTTAATAAAATTCTTCAAAAAAATTTAATTATTTTCAATACAATTTCAATTTTCAACACAAAATTTATATAAAATACTTCGAAGCAATTAAATTATTTTCAAAAACTACAATAAAATTCTATGTTAAAAATTAAATTATTTCAAGTTCAAAATTATGGAAATTCAGAAAAATAACAAAAAGTAATATTCTTTAAACTAATAATTAAATTCTTAAGGATCTTTTTATTAAAAATTATGAAAAATATTTTAATTTTAGAAGCTTTTCAGTTAAAAATTCTAGAAAATAATTCAATTGATAAAACAATTTTTGATAAATTACAGTAGCAATTCTTAAAAATTATTGAATTTCAAAGAATTTGAAGTTTGAAATTCTTAGAAATCCTAACTTCGGAAAAAAAATAATAGTATAATGATTAAATATTTATTTAAACAAAAAATTGTTGATGTTCTGAATTTTTAGAGTGAATTGAAAATATTCTTTAGAGTCATAGTGAAAAAGTCAAAGTTCGGTATGGAAATTAGGAAAAAGTCAGGGAAAATAAAATAATATTTGTAGCAACATTGTATTTACAATAAGATTATTTGCAATACAATATTTAGAATAAATATAAGTTATTTTTAATAACTATTTTTAAAGAGATGAAAAATAAATCTTGAACTTAAATGTAACTAGTAATTAAGGTGAATTTTTTAAATTGAAAATCTCGCTGTAAAAGAGAACAGACTTTTTTCAACTTGGAACGATTGGTCTGTGAATAAGAAAATTACACAAGTTATTAATCCTATTTTTCTGCAGGTATTATTTACAAACTGTTTATACAAATAAATATTTACAGGAAACTTGCATTCATAACTATTGTGGATTTAGAGATTAGCGAATTCGATGTTTAAAGGATTATAGCCGTTTCTTTGATCAGGATTCTTAATTTTCTTTATTTTCATTTTAATCTTCTGTCTAAACATTCAAATTTACAAACCTTACAAATTTGTAATTTTCTATTGTAACCAAGCCCGTTTTGTTTGTTATACAAAGGCCTAAGCAAATTGTTTTTATGGAAAATATACAGGTATTAGTCAATTTTTCTAAAGAAAAAAAAATAAATAATCAATTGTGAGATATGCAAAAAAACGGGGAGCATGAATATCCCTTAAAAATTATTTGTTAGAATATTTAATAGATAAAATATTCATATTGCTGAAATTAAAATTTTACTAAACAGAATATAAGATGACCGAATTTTTATTAAACAGAATCATCAATTGATTGAAGTTTTAATTATTAAAAGATATAAATTTGATGATTGTGGCATGGCGTCGCGTCTGAATGAAAATTTGCAGTTCCTTCCCAACTGAATGATTTATTCTGATCTACAACCGAACTAAAGAATCTATAGCCAAGAAAATTGATTTGATTTGACCTTGACAATTAATCGCATGATGTCATGCGATTACTTGTTGATTACCAGTTTTAGGGAAACTCCTTTTTCTTTAATAAGTTTACAAATTGAGTTTTCAAAGCTTTTCGAAGAAGCTTAAAATTAGACTCAAGCTTAATTTACAAGAAATTAAATTTCTAATATGATAAAAATTAAAATTTGGTCTGAAATACCGAACTCATTCGTAATCAGTCGAATCCGATTGAGTCTAAAATTAATTCTGTCTATGCATTTAATTGCCATTAGCCAGAAGGACGAAGCGAAGCGAAGCCAAGACAAACTATCTATTTAGAAATTGTATAACAACATGTTAACGACTTAGGAAGGCTAAACTATTTCTATTCTTTTCATCAATTCTATATATAATGTAAAATTATTAATTATTAATTATTAATTATTAATTATTCTTTTTCAGATCTCCAATTAGCTGCAGAACTGGGAAAAACTCTACTTGAACGGAATAAAGAATTGGAGAATACTATAAGATCGCAGCAAGACAAAATTGAGGAGCAAGCACATGAGATAGAGGTAAATTGATAAAGTTGAACGATAATTGAGTTTCTAACGAGAATGACATCGCATTAACTTTTCCCTCACGTATTTCTATCAGGGATGGCCTCATGAATATACTCTACTTAAAAGTAGATTTCGCTGTAAAAGTTGCTTTTATAGTGAAATAGATTGTATATGAGACCATTTCTGACTTTTATCATCGGCATTAATTTTATTGTTTCCTTACAGTATATGAAGAAGCAAACCACTGCTCTCAGAGAAGTAAACGACTCTCGTTTAAAGATTTATGAACAATTAGAAGTCAGCATTCAAGATTTGGAACGAGCAAATCATCTTCTCGTCGTTGACAATGCAAATGATAAGAAGCTCCTAAAAACGTAAGAATTTTTTCAAAAAAATATTTATTAAATTAGGGAAACAGAAAAATTTCACTTGATAAAACAATGCTGAATTATTCAATCATTTTCAATGACAACTGAATTTTACTGATTCTCGGTATAATTTCACTGACATAAGAATTACAAGTAAAAATTTATTTTAATGTATGAAAGATTTTTTCAAAGATATAAGTATTATAAAACATTGACTAATAAAGGAATTTTTAACAAGTTTTAACCACATTTAAAGTTAAATTATACAGGGTTGCCACAGGTCAGGGAAATCAGGGAATTCAGGGACAAATAAGGAATTTTTATTTACTGAAAAAAATTAAATTTTTGGAATTCATAAGAAAATTCTGAATTTTTGTTCCTTTTTTTGTTTGCCTCATAAACTATAAAATCACCATGAATTCTAATACGAAACCTTCAATTTTTTCTATTTCAATAAATAATTTCTTTTTAAATAACATAATTTTTCAAAAACATATTATTAAAATTATAACCTATTTAAATTATTAAATGAATAATTTTACTTCAATATTTAAAAATTAATTCGATTTTAAGAGTTGCGTTTACAATTTTCATAGATAAACTTCAAAAAGTTTCATTTTAAAAGTTTATAAAATTTCAATTTTGAATGAATTTAATTAGAATATGTTCGAAAATTTAAAAAAATTCTCGTCAAAATTTCAATTATCTTTATAAATAATAAAATTCTTCTCCGAAATTCAATTATTTACAAAAATTTTAATAAAAATCTTGTCATTTCAATTATTTTCAAAAGTTCTCTTCAATTCAATTAAATTCATTTAAATAAGAAAAAATTTCGTACAATTCTAGGCAAACAATGAATTCTTTTCGTAAACAATAAAAACTTCACACGAATTCAATTATTTACAAATTTTTTATAAATTTCTACGCAATAATTCGAATGTTTATTCAAATTTTCGTGCTAAAGTTTGACAGTTAATTTGTAAATAATAAAATAAGTAAAGTAAGAAAATTTAACCCAAGTTTCAAAAACTCAATAAAAAGGTACAGTTGCAATTTTTAAAAATAATCAATTATTTTATGAATTATTTATTTTTAAATTTCAATAATTGAATTCTCGTAGTTGAATTCTGATAAGAATTTATTTAAAAACGAATTTTAGTGAAAACTTTAGAAAATAATTAGAAGTTTTAAAATAGGATTCTTTATAGAAATTAGAAATTATTGAATTTCAAAAAGTTTTTAAATATAACAAATTATTAATTTGTTAACTTCCTTAAAAACTGAAAGTTTTGAATAATAATATTTAAAAAATCTTAAAAAAAATAATTGAATTTTAGAAGACTTGTAGTTCAAATTTTCAAGAAGAAATTTTTTAAATTGTTTTATATTTAAAGTATGTCGAAATTTTAAGCAAATAAAGAACAATAAGTATTTAAATATTTATTTTACAAAAATGATTAAAATTTAAAAGATTTAATTTGGAAATTCTGAAAAAATTAGCTTTTTGACAAATAATAATTAAAATTTTTTAAAGTAGGTAATACTTGAATTCTGATAGAAATTGATTTAAGGAAAATGTCAGTTAAAATTTTAGAAAATTATTGAATTTTAAAAGATTTTAAAATTAAATTCTTTGAAAATTTAAGGGAAGTAAAAGTATAAGAATATTAAAATTTTTATTTTAAAAAATGATTAATTACATTGTTTTTCTTTAAAAATTCTTACAGTTTTGAATAATTTTATTCAAAAGTTTTTAAAAAATAATTGAATTTTGGAAGAATTAATGTTTTAATTTCTGTGAAAAATTCAATACGAATAAGTTTTTAAATTTTTGTTCTAAAAAATTTAATTCAGATATTCTGGAAAAAGTTGTATATTGGAAAAATGTAATTAAAATTTTTTTAAAATAATTTTATTTGCGAAAATAATTTTAAAAAATTAAAAATTTTGTCAAATTTCATTAAAATAATTTTTATATTTGAATGAATTTTATTTGTTTACTTTTTAAAAATTATTTAAAAATAATAGTCGTATTTTTGAAGAATTCTAATTGAAAATTTGGAAAATAATTGAATTTTTAAAAAAATTTAGAATGAAACTTATTACCAGGATGGTAATCTTGGCGATTTTTATACGAGTTGTTCAAATAATTCCTAATTTTTTTTTTAAATTTAAAGAAAAACTGTTAGAAAAATTATATTTTTTAAAACATGAAAAATTTTCATTAAATTTTAAAAAGAAAATTTTTTAAAGTAGCAATGACTATTAAACTTTGTCAAAAATTATGAAAAATAATTGATTTAAAGAAGAATTTTTGTCAAAAATGTTACAAAATAATAATTAAATTGAAACGATGAAAATAATTTTAAAGAAGTTAAAATAACAATATTCTTGTAATATAAAATTATTCTTGAATTATTATAAGTTTTAGAGTTTCAAAAAGGGATAAAGTCAAAATTTTGTCTGGTTTTCAGGGAAAAGTCATGGACGAACAAAATTAAATTTTTGTGGCAACCCTGTTATAGAGTAACGTCTAAATAATTTTTTAAAAATGGACCTCGCAGAAAATACATTAGTTTTGAGTCTAAGTCGATTTTCTTATTTTTGAATTTTAAGTTTGTATTTTGAAGAAAACTATTAAATTCAAAAACTTATTGGAAAATCGACTGGGATCCAAAACTAATATATTTCCTGCGGGGTCTTTTGATTAATTCTAGAAGAATAATAGAAACTATTTATTTAAAATTTTTAAAGTTATGAAAATTGCGAACTTCTTTAGAAAAAGATAAACATTTTAATATAAAGGAAAATCAATTAATTGTCAGAACCCACTAATTTTTAATTTGACTAAATTTTACTTTAGATTCACTAATCCATATCTCATATTTGACAAATAGTGTGAATAATATCCATTTTTGGTTTTTGATACAAAATGCACTAAGCCAGATAATCTAACATTCTGCATTAGAACTAAAAACGTATCAAGTCTATTGAAATTTGAAGAAAAAAATTGTTTACTCACCAAAACTAAATGAAAAGCTATATTCGTTTACTTTTCTTAATCTTAGGGCCAGTTTCACCAACTCCGATTAAAAGTTAATCAATGATTAAAGTCAATTTAATCGCTCGTGATTTGTCGGTTAAGGATTTAATCGGTGTTGGTGAAACTGGCCCTTAATTTCTCTCTGAGCATTTTAGTTATTTTTGAAATAATGAATATTACAGACAATCTATGACAATTGAAAATTTGGAGATTAGATGTGAAGATATTCAGAAAAAGTTTGATGATTTTAAATGTAAATATCAGCTCCTTGTCAAACAACAAACGACAAACGAAGAAGTTCAGGAGAAAGTTTTGTGGAAAAGTACGACAGATGGTAGCATAAACCAGGTTTGTTGTTTAAATTCGCATTTGTGATATGCCAGATGAATGTTGTTGATTATTGTCATTTATTAATTTTCTTCATTTCTTTTTAGAAGGCTACTTCAATTACCACAAAGTCCACTTCTAACGCAACTGGTAATGCTCAGGAGCATGTGAACAGTACAAATAATGACGAGGAGGTAACTAGTTTATTAAAGCAATTAAGTGAAGTTCGTAGTCAAAGGACGAGGGAACAAAAAAAGATATCTGATCTTGAGAGTCAACTTTCGAGTCTTGTACGTGAAAATAACAATTTAGAGGAGCAGCTCAATGTTTGGCAGAATAAAGCACAAGACGTGAAGAATCTTCAAGATGAATTGAGCACTCTGGAAGAAGTCAGGTACGTGGATTTTAATTATAAAGTCTGAACACTTATTCTATTAAATTTAGGTAAGGCGCCTCGTTTCTGTGCGTTTTAAACAGTATCATTTTTAATCTTTAAAATCGGTTTCCAATCTTAACGAATTTTTTAAATCGGTAACCTTAAAAATATCAAATGTTTATTGGATAAAGATAGTAATGAGAACATCCGGTACGGAAAAAATACAATTTTATCTGAGAATTTTTTCCCTATAGTAGTTAAACAATTATTCAAAAAGTCGTGTAAGAGTGCAATTCCCAATTTTTTTGTTGAAAAAAAATGCTCCTTCAATCGTATAATTTCAGGCGAATTTAATATAATTTAAGTACATAATTTGTAACTGTGCCTTTCTTGTACGCATGTGATATGTCTAAATTTTTTTTCAGTCATAGAAAACCTAGAAAATCTGAAATTGTCAGGGAATTTTATTAAGTCTCATTCTGAAAATTCAATTTTTTGTATTTAAATGCAGGCTTTACAGTCTGTCCCCTATTTCCCTAAAAGTCCCCTTTTTTTAATTTTGACCCCTAAACGTACCCTATTTTCAAAATTTCACCTAAATTTCCCCTATTTCTTTCGTCACAGGAAATCAATTATTTTCAATAATTTTTAAGTAATTCTGCAAAACAATTATTCAATTATCTTGATAACCAACAAAATTCTCCCTATAAAACCAATTATTTTAAGGATTTTTAATGAAATTCTTTTCCAAAATTCAATTATTTTCATAAATATCACAATTCTTCTCAAGAATTCAATTATTGTCAAAAATTTTAATTACATAAATTTTTGTCAAAATTTCAATTATCAAAATTTAATAAAATACTTTGCACGAATTCAATTATTTTTATAAATTTTAATGAATATCTCGCCAAGAATTCAATTATTTTTATAAATAGCAAAAATTTTTCGCCAAAAATTTAAATAAAATTCTTTGCAACATTTCAATTATTTTTAAAAGTTTTTCGCAATTCAATGTTTTTAAATATTTACTACTAGCTGTCGTACCCGTCTTCGACGGGTTTTAGTTTCTACCAATACATTTAAGTTTCTACCAATCTGGAAAATCAGGAAATAGCTAGGGAATTTAATTTGACCGGAAAAAAATAATAATTAGTTACCATTATAGCTATTTTAGTAGGAAAATATTACTATTTGAATCAGTGATTGACTTTTTGTTATCAAATTAGTTATTTTAACCAATTCAAATGCAGAGAACAATATTTATCAATTTGTAGTACTTTAATTAATGTATTAAAAAAATTAAATTTTCCATACAGTTTTTGGAGTTATAGTAGAGTCTAATTGGAACTAATTGTATCGCAAGTAGACCCTACGTTACGACTGCTAAAACCTAACATAAGACCTAAATTTTAGGCTGAAAGTAGGGCTTAAATTTTGACTCGGGTCTGTTTTCATAAATATTATACATCAATAAAAATTGAAGTAAAAAGCAATTTTTTAAAAGCGAATTAATATAATGAAACTTTTTCTTAATTTGATAGGAAAATTCCCGGTTCGGCATATTCCCAGCTTTTTACAGTTTTTCCCGTTTGGTAGATACCCAGTTAAATGTATTAGTATAAACAGAAAACTGTACGACAGCAAGTAATACAATCTATATTTATATGAACTTAAGAAACAGTATTTTCATAAAATAAGTAAATTTTTATAGCCATTTGTAGATTTATTTATGGATAAAATCAAGTAAATTTAAATTTGACAAAAAAGAGATAAACCGTGAAAAGTTTGGACAAAGCAGGGAATTTTGTTAAACAAAAATAGACACCGTGTTAACTTTTGTCTTTACATTGCTCAAAACATCTCTTAAAGTTAAATCTAGAGTTAAAATGAAAAAACGTTTTAACATGTAAGTTTTTGCCTAGTGGCATAATATGCTTGTATTGTATCACAGGTGACTTACAATTCTTGACATCCTGCGAAATCATTTTAATCATAAAAAATTTCCATTTTCAATATTTCTCAACTTCTTGAAAATATTAGATTGATTTGATAAATAATTTTGAATTGCACTATTTTGACATCAAAATATTAATCAGAGACTCCAAAAATACTACTGAATTATACTTCATATAGTAATTAGTATCGATTTTTTGATATATTGAAAATTTTTTTATATTTCTTGTAGGATAGTATTTTTTGCAAAATTATGATAAAATCTGACTAAATAACATATAATATTCATTTTTAGAAAGTTTAAAAGCTATCCATTAAAAATTGTGAAATTTGGAAATTTTCCATTTTTCAAGTTTTTGAAAATATTTTTATATTTACATCTTAGTTGTAGAATAGTATTTTTTGAAAAATTATGCTAAAATGTGACCAAATAACATGTAATACTCAAATATAGAAAGTTTAAAAGCAATCCATAAAAAAATGTAAAATTTTGAAATTTTCGATTTTTTGAAAACATTTTTATACTTACATATTAGTTATAGGACTTTATTTTTTGCAAAGTTATGCTATAATGTGACTAAATAACATATAATACTCAAGTATATAAACTTCAAAAGCAATCCATGAAAAATAAAAAATTTTGAAATTTTCGATTTTTTGAATTTTTTGAAAAAATTGAATATCTCCCGTTCTAATTAATATTTTTTAAATCTGTAAATTTATAAACCTTCCTTGGGTCAATACCTAATAACCTACCAAGTTGGACTTAAATCGATTCACATGTTTTTGTGTGATTGGGGTACAAAGTTTTTGTGACAGACAAACATACATACATACATACATACATACATACATACATTAAATTTTTTAAGAACATTTTTGGAATCTCTGATGTCCATAATAACTAATCATGTTAACATTTTGAAGTTTTAAGCAATGTACAGACAGACATCTGATTTTATTAATAAGGATTTTCATAAAATTTATCAACAGATTTAATTATAGAAAAAAATTGTTGATACAATTCTACGAAAATATTCAATTATTTTCATAAATAATAAAATTTCATTTACGAATTCAATTATTTTCAATTGAATCATCGTAGAATTTCAAATATTTTTAATACAATTTTAAATAAATTCCTTAAAAAATGCAATTATTTTAAAAAATTTTATTATATAAAATATATATAAAATTCTTTTCCAAAATTCAATTATTTTGATAAATATCAAAATTCATCACAAGAATTTAATTCTTTTGAAAAGAAATAAAATACTTTGCAGAAATTAAATTATTTTCAAAATTTTTTTAAAATTCTTGTTAAGAATTAAATTATCTTTATAAATAGATAGGGAAATTGTTCTTAAGAATTAAATTATTGTCAAATTTTTTTTTTAAATTCTTCTCAAGAAGTCAATTATTTTCAAAAATTTTAATAAAATGCTTCTTATGAATTTAATTGTTTTTAAAAATTATTATTTAAATTCTTTTCAGGAATTTAGTTATTTTTCAAAAATTTAATAAAATTCTTCAAAAAGTTTTCAATTATTTTCAAAAATTTAATAAAATTTTTCAAAAAGTTTTCAATTATTTTCAAAAATTGTTATAAAATTCTTTAATATAATAAATTTCATTAAAATTTGAATTAAATTCCTTAAAAGAAATTAAATATTTTCAAAAGTTGTTAATACAGTTCTTCGTAAAAATTAAATTTTAAGAAACATTCGATATTATTTATTCTTGTATTTAAATAATTGATTTCTCGTAGAATTAAATGATTATTTTTCGTACTTTTAACTAACAATTCTGTAGAATTAATTTTTTTGAAAGAGTTTAATTGAATAATAATTGATGTTAATGATTTAAAGTTGAATTTTAGTTAAAAATTCTAGAAAATGTTAATTGAATTGAAATGATACAAATAATTGTGAAGAAATTGGAGTAACAATATTCTTATAATAATAAAATAATGATTTTGTCAGTCGGTCATTTTTATGTTTTATAATAATATTCTTATTCAATTTGAAAAGGTTTGAATTTGAAATTTTTGAACATCTTAATTCCAATGAAACAAAATGATTAAATATTTATTTTACTATTGATGTTTTCGAATAATTTAACTTTTGAAGAAATTTGTAAATAAATTTAATAAAACATTATTTTGAGTATCTAATAATTTTGAGAGTGAATCAGAATATCCTTTAGGGTGAGGGAAAAAGTGAAAGTTGTGTTTGGAAATCAGGGAAAAGTGAGGGAAAAATAAAGTTAAATGTTTGTGGCAACCCTGTATGAATAAATTATATTTTTATTTAACCAATTTTTATGGTCCCCTATTAGTCCCCTATTTCCCCTAAAATACTTTTTAGGGACACTGTGAAGCCTGTGAATATTAAAAATCTCATGTTTTCAAGTTGACATTGTTCTGGAAAAAATAAGGAACTTAGTTCAGTAACTCAGGATATCGCGACGATTTCACCAGAAATTCAAACTTATCTTTTTGGATAAGTAATGAACTATTTTTTTGGAAGTAGTTAAGAATATTTTATTACATTCTTATTATATTTTATCACATTATTAGTTGGAAACTAATATTCCAAGAAGAAATCAAGTGAAAATTTGCCTCGACCATTTTAGACGTGCTAAAGAAACTTCTTAACTTATTAATAAATGACTAGCCACTTGACTTTCTCATGAAGTTTCATATGAAAAATTACGGAACTACTTTTGAAAAATTCTTAACCAAGAAATACGAAAAAATGTATTTTGTCTTTCCTTTCATCACTCAAACTTTCATCCTTAAAGGTCAGCTCGGATTTATGGAAACATACACATTGCCAACTTACGTCATACTACTCAATTTATATATAGCAATTAAATACAAACATATCATTAGTATAACACTCACATGTATGGAAGATTTTTATTAAGAATCAGGAATCAGGAATTTTTCAGTTTTTTAAAAGCGGTTATTATTGAAAAACTATTAAATATTAGAAGTTGGTACTCAGCACAAATATAAATCATTTCACTCTTTCTGAAGATCTCATTCAGCATGTAACACA